ACTATTTTTCTTGAATTAAATCTGCCATCTCGTTCAATCTGTTATCTTTATCAATCGTCATACACACACATGTACACACACGTCACATAGACAAACGCACACGCATACACATGCGCACACACATTCATGCCATCCCCTTTCACTTTCGCCAAATAAGGTACTTAATTGAAATCTCTTACCGTTTTAATAATTTCTTTTCTCCCTCCTCCCTCCCTCTCTCCTGTTTTTTTTTTCCCTTTTTTCCCTTTCCTTTGTCCTTCCTTCCGTTTGCCCCCCTCCTCCTTTTTTTCCTTTCCCTTTCCCGTCTTTTCCTTTACCTCTCTCAATTCCTTCCCCTCCTCCTTTTCCTTCTTTTCTTCGCCTTTCCCTCCTCTACCTCCCTCTTCCCTCCCTTGTCACCCCTCCCCTTTCTCCCCTTACCCCTCTCCCCCCCCTCCCTCCTTCCCTTCCCTTCCCTCCCCTTCCCTCCTCTTACCTACTTACCACCCCTCCCTCCCCTCCTTTTCCCTTCCTTCCCTTCCCCCCTTCCCCCCTTCCTCCTCCCCCTCCTCCCTTCCCTTCCCCCCCTCCAGCCCACCCTCGATGCCCCCCAAGTGAGTCGTCCCTCCATCCAGGCCTTCCTCGAAGACAGGAAGACGTCCTTGCCCCTATGGAGAAGAAAGGACTCTGCAGCCTCAAGGAAGGACTCTGTTGCAACTACTACCTCAAAGGCGTCTGACCGGGTGAGATGCTGGGCCCTCGATTTTTTTTTTTTTTTTTTTTTTTTTTTTTTTTTTTTTTTGTTCTCAGTTTCTGGATCGTGTCTTTGGTTTTGGCTCTCTTTCTCTTAACTTTCTTTCTCTGTCTTTCTCTCTTTATTCTTCTCTCTCTCTCTCTCTCTCTCTCTCTCTCTCTCTCTCTCTCTCTCTTCTCTCTCTCTCTCTCTCCACTCTCTCTCTCTTCTCTCTCTCTCTTTCTCTCTCTCTTTCTCCTCTCTCTCTCTCTCTCTCTCTCTCTCTCTCTCTCTCTCTCTCTCTCTCTCTCTCTCTCTCTCTCTCTCTCTCTCTCTCTCTCTCTCTCTCTCTCTCTCTCTCTCTCCTCACTCACTCTCTCTCTCTCTCTCTCTCTCTCTCTCTCTCTCTCTCTCTCTCTCTCTCTCTCTCTCTCTCTCTCTCTCTCTCCTCTCTCTCTCCCTCCCTCCTCTCCCTCTCCCTCCCCTCTCCCTCTCCCTCTCTCTCCTCTCCCTTCTATTCTCATTATCTATCAGTCTGTCTAACCCTCTACCTCTATCTATCAGCCATCTTTCTGCATCTGTTTATCTATCTATCAAACGGACTGTGTATCTACCATCCTATCTGCCTGTGTGTCTCCTCTATCACATTTTCTCTTTTATATTTTTCTTCGCGTATCTTTATTTTTTTTTTATTATTTTTTACTTCCCTGCTACTTTTATCGCAAATTTTTATACCATCATTTTCTATCACTCTCCTCCTCCAGTTCTTCAATTTGATTCATAAATTTAATGTTGTAAATACTTCCTTCTTGGGCGATACTTAATGCATTATTTTTTTTTTATTAGAATATCCTCAGTAATTCCTTATTCTCAGGTATTAATTATCCACTAAATGTTTTTCTCAAGATATCCTCGACTGTTCTTTATCCATTCAATTGTTCTTATTAAGATATTCTCTGCTGTTCTTGAATCTATACACTCTCTACCATTCCCTTATTGTTATTATTATAATTATTATTATTATTTTTTATGAATATCCTTGGTTATTGTCGATCCAGTCTTTATCCATTTCTTATCAATATATCCTCGGCTATTCTTGATCTATTTATATATAGTTTTTTTCTTATCAAGTTCTCCCAAACCCGTTTTCCTTTTTAATTGTTTTTATCAAAAGTCTGCCTAACTCGTTTTTCTTTTTATTTATTATTTTTCGTTGCTTTTATTTATTTATTTTTATTAAGCTCTCCCAAAGCCGTTTTCCCTTTTAGTTCTTTTATCAAGGTTATCCGATTTCTTTTTTAATTGTTATTTTTCTTTATCAAGCTTTCCCAAACACGGTTTCCTTTTTATTTATTTATTAATTTTGTATTGAAACTCTCCCTAACCCGTTTTGCTTTTAATTTTATTCCTTTATTTATTTATATTTTTTATCAAGCTTTCCTAACCCGTTTCTTTTTTAGATTGTTATCAAGCTCTTCTTATCCCCGTTTTCCTTTTTCATGTTATTATTATATATTCTTTTGAACGAGTCTTTCTAAACCCGTTTTCCATTATTTTTCTTTATGAAAACTCTCCCAAATACGCCCATTTATTTTATTTATTTATTATTATTATTTTTTAAAGTCCCCCTTAACCCGTTTTCCTTCTCTCCCCAGCTGGGTTCCGCCGAGGAGTCCGGTAGAAGTCGCGCGTCCATGCGGCCCGCCACTTCCCTGGACGCCATCAGCCACCACCGCGTCATAGCCACCGGCAGGGAGTTCCCCTCGCGCTCTGCCACTATATCTACTAGTAGGTCGGGAGGGGAGAGAGGAGAGAGGGGATGGGAAGGGGGGAGGGGACGGGGGGGAGGATGGTGGGAGGGTGGGAAAGTGGGGTGGGTGGAAGGGGGAGGGAGGGAAGGTGGGGGGGAGGGAGGAGTGTGGGTGGGGAGGGGGAGAGGATGTGTGTGTGTGTGTGTGTGTGTGTGTGTGTGTGTGTGTGTGTGTGTGTGTGTGTGTGTGTGTGTGTGTTAGTCGCTCATGTGCAAATGCAAGAGGAAAAGGGAAATGTGTATGTGTATATGTGTATGATTTAGATGATATGTATATGTAGGAGTGGCTTTGGATATTTACGCAGAGGTACGCTCATGGGTTTATACACACACACACACACACACATCTACACAAACCAACAGCCCCCCCCCCCCACACACACACACACACACACACACACACACACACACAAACACACACACACACACACACACACACACACACACACACACACACACACACACACACACACACACACACAACACACACACACACACACACACACACACCTCAGGAAGAAACCCCAAAGAAATATTTTCACACCTGAAAAGTCCCGTTTCAGATTTTTTTTTTTTTTTTTTTTTTGTTACTTTTTTCAGCCATCTTAAAAGTTATAATGATGGCCAAAAAGATTGTTGCATTGTGTCTGAGCGGTATCGTGTCTCGCGGAAGTTGTTTTGGAGTGAAATGGGATAGAAAGACGTGTGTTTTTTTGTTTTTTTCTCAACGTCATTAATGCAGTGTAATACATGTCCAGAAATGACTATATCCTTGCTTTATTTTGTCCCATAATATATATATATATATATATATATATATATATATATATATATAATATATATATATATATATATATATATATAATAGATATATATATATATGTACCATAATATATATATATAATATATATATATATATATGTGGTGTGTGTGTGTGTGTGTGTGTGTGTGTGTGCGTGTGTGCGTGTGCGTGCGTGTGCGTGCGTGCGCGTGCGTGCGCGCGCGATATACACACATACACATACACATACAACATATACTACATATAAATACATGCATAATGCATAATACATACATACATACATATACATACATACATACACATACATACATATATACACACATGCATACATACACATGCACATACATACACATACGGACATACATTTATATCCATATACATATTAGTATAATTAGTCATTTATTTGAGCTTACTGGTACGCGAGCTTTGCAATTCTCTTGTGCATTGCTAGAACCCTTCCTTTTCAAAGTATTTTCTCGATGTTGTTATTGATGTCTTTTTTCAGCAATAGTTAAAGTCAATTTGCATTTACCTTTTTTTTTTAATACGTGTCATTTGATCTTGCTTGGTGTGTTATATATGTGTATGTACATGTATACATATATATAGATAATTGTTATGTATATGTATATGGGTGTTTGATGGTATTTTTGGTAAATCTTTCATTCCTTTGCCATTTTATGTTTGTTTCTTTTCTGTTAATGTTTATTTAGATTATCAATGTCTTTTTCTACGTATCCATATATATCCACTTCTATATGAATATAGTTTTTCTTTATCAAATATAGCTATTTTTTAATCTACCCTCTCTAATTTCCTTTTTATCCATTTCCTATCCAAATTTATCCATATCTGGGAATAGTTTTAGATATTTTTTATCCATTATATTTACCTATTTCCATTTTTTTCCTGCTTGGCCACTTTCATCCGCTCGTATCCATTTGATTCTACCATATCCAGTCTTATTTCCTTTGTTATCCACTTTTTATATCCACACGTATTTGCTTTATTAACCCATTTCCATTCTTATACTCATTATATCCACTCTTTATCCACTTGTTTTCCAGTTTATTTACCCATTTTTTTCTTTTGTTCACTTTTTATCCAATTTGTTGACACATTCCCTATATTTCCATTTGTTCACATTCTATGAACCCCATATTCAATCTTCTGTTATCCAACTTGATCCACCCATAACCATTTTATGAAACTATTTCCAGTATTACCCTCAATTATCCACTTGTATCCACTCATCAGCATTTGATTATCCCATTTCCGATCTTATCTCCAATTATCCACTTTTATCCATTCGTACCCAATATCCTCTGTTATCCACTTTTATCCACTCGTTCCCAATATAATCTTCTGTTAGCCACTTATATCCATATGTAAGCATTTGATTATCCCATTTTCAATCTTATCCTTTATTATCCAATTTTATTCACTCATACCCAATATCCTTAATTATCCACTTTTATCTACTCATACCTAAAACCATTCTCAATTATCCACTTTTATCCACTCATACCCAATATTCTTAATTATCCACTTTTATCCACTTGTACCCAATATCACCCTCAATTATCCACCTCTATCCACTGGTACCCAATATCATCTGTTACCCACTTATCCACTCATAACCATCATCCTCTGCAATCCACTTTTATCCACTCGTAAGCTTTTGATTATCCCATTTCCCATCTTATCCTCAATTATCCACTTTTATCCACAAGTACGCAATATCCTCTATTATCCACTTTTATCCACTCGTACCTAATATCACTCTATTACCCACTTGTAAGCAGATGATTATCACATTTACTATCTTATCTCACTTATCCGCTTTTATCCACCCATATCCAATACCCTTTGTTATCCACTTATATCCACTCGTAAGCACTTGATTATCCCATTTCCAATCTTATCCTCAATTATCCACTTTTATCCACTCGTAAGCATTTGATTATCCCATTTCCCATCTTATCCTCAATTATCCACATTTATCCACTCGTAAGCATTTGATTATCCCATTTCCAATCTTATCCTCAATTATCCACATTTATCCACTCGTAAGCATTTGATTATCCCATTTCCCATCTTATCCTCAAATATCCACTTTTATCCACTTGCAAGCATTTGATTATCCCATTTCCAATCTTATCCTCAATTATCCACATTTATCCACTCGTAAGCATTTGATTATCCCATTTCCAATCTTATCCTCAATTATCCACATTTATCCACATTTATCCACATTTATCCACTCGTATCCACTTCTTCCCCCTAGATGCTTCAACCCCACAACCTCTCTCTTTCAGAAGAAAATTTGGAAGATGTAGCGAGCCAGTCTTCAGTATCCTTGAACAGTCGTAAGATAAAAAAAAGATAATAATGTAGATGTCCGTACTTAAGCTTTAGTTAATATTAGATAAAAAGATAATGTTAGTGTGGATAGTAGTTTTGACGTTGGACTACCCATGTTTACCATTGTGTTTTAGTATTGTTCTAGTGTTGTGGTTTTATATTTGTTAGTCTGTGTGTCTAATGGTATGGTGATTAATGGTGATGATGATGGTGAGGATGGTAGTGATGATGGTGATTGTGGTAATGGTACTAATGGTGATTATGAGGATGTGGATCATGATATTAATCGTAGTGGTAATGATTATGGTGAGGCACTGAACTTGTGATGAGTGGTCAGTCTTGAAAGAAAAAAATAAAATGCACCAGTTTGTATTCCTGATAAAGATGCAGGAATTTATGATTTGTTGTCTATCTGAAAAGAAGAAAAATATGCACCTCGCTATGTCTATGTAACCGGTCATTTTTTCAAAGTCCACAGCCTTAAACAGATTAGAAAAGGAAAAACGCATACCCCCTTCCCCTCCCCTCTCCGCCCACCCCCACGCTATTGAAAGTAAAAACGTCTATTCGAACTCCAACAACAAATTTACGATTCTGTGGCTTTGTAACCAAAACAAAGAGCAATGACATTCCGCTGTGAAATGAAATAGCGTTTTGTGCAGGTGGCATTTCCCTGAAATCTATTATAAAGTCTGTCCCAGAGGCAACGAGAATGGTGCAGCCCTATGTAATTCGTTTCCAATACCCCGTATCGAAAGGGAGATTAACATCCTTGAAGCCTGGATGCTGTAAGTAGTATGTACTAGGACATAGGGTACAGTGGTTATTTTGAAAACGTTGGCGGCCTTTTGGAAAGGTCTCTCTCTCGCTTTCACTTCTGACAATTTAATCTTTCTTTTTGATCTGAATCTTGATCGGAGCTCTCAACTTCTCTGTAGCTCTATTGATATTTGAATACCCTCGTCTGCCCTTCAGTATGTTTCGTGCATATGTTTGGCTGTGACTCTCTTGCCTGTGTGTATATATCCTGAAAGAAAATTTCCTATCCACTCTCCGAATGAACTCTCCTAAGTGTCAGTAAATGATCGAACTCCCCCAGTCTTGCCTGATCACAGACTAGTACATATTTCCGTGCTGTGTGTTTCTCTAATAATGTTCATAGTATGCCTATATATGCGTACCTGCATATATATATGTATGTGTGTGTATATATATATACGTCCGTATTGAAAACGACCATTTTCCTTTTAATATGATTTGAGGTTTTATCTTCCTTTTCTATCTTTACCACTTTATATTATTCTGTATGAGGAATCCATTATAGAAGAATGATAAGTCAGCGATAAAAACGTACTTAATTCGCCTGGTAAGCAATTTATTTCTTTATTTACGATTTTTAAAAGGAAAATGGTCATTCCCGTAGATTTCCTTCCGTGACCTAAAGAGAGTTGAATGTCGATTATTGTTTTTTCTCTCTCATTCATCAGTATCTTCTCTCTCTCCCTTTCTCTCTTCGTCAGTGCCTGTAAGAAAATAAGAATGCCGAATTATTCCCTTGTTAGCTTGTAAATGTGTTTATTATTAAAACCTTTTTTTCCAGTTATAATTGGTGGTATGCTTGTGATTGGCAGTTATTTCCTCTCGTGTTGTGACTAACTTGAACCAGGAATCGAGGGTTTATTATTGTTGTTATTGTTGTGAGAAAAAAAAAAAAATCAGAAAATGGGAAACTTTTCAAAAAAACAAAAAAAAAATGTCAACAGAGAAGGTGTAAAGAGAATTAAAGTTCTTTAAATTGTTTATGAGGTAAAA